GTATTTAAATATCCGCTGACGTGTTACACTGGCGGATAATCCAACCCACCGGGACTCTGGGCGAAACCTTGGGCGAGATTCCTTGCTCCACGCGCGCACACACACACACACACACACACACATGCCTGATAATAATCCCTCAAGAAAAAAATAATAATAATAATAATAATTTGGTCACTCAATCCACGACTGTTTGTGGGAGGCTGCTGCGCGCAATTGGAATTTCTCTCTCCCAGTGTCCTGGCCGACAATCCCACCCCAAATGAAACAGTCGGTCAATGACTTCAAGGCTGTTTGTGGGACTTTGCTGTGTGCCAATCGACTGCAACGTTTCCGTTACACAAAGACCTAAGATGGGGCTTGAACCCGTAAACCTTCTCACCCAGAGACGAGAGTTCTAGCAACTGAGCTAGGCTCACAGTAAACCCTACGAGGCCACAACTTCCATTTATGTGGAGCCCTTCTCATGGGTCAGCGTCCAGGAGTGCTCAAAGCACTTTGAGACGTTCTGTCATTATAGGTGCTGTACAGACGAGAGGATTATTATTACGAAAGGAGAACAAGCACAGCACAGGCAACAATAGACAGGTCGGACAGGAACTGACGTGGGCTTGTCTCTTAAGTAGCGGTAAGAGTGTCTGCCAGCGTTGTGATCAGACACCTCCCAGTGTCTGTCCTGAAATTGCCCTTCACAATCCTAGACCTGTGTCCTCTTGTTCTGCTGTCTCGGCCCATTCCAAAAGAGGCAAAGAGTCCCGTAGCTCAGTGGTTCGAGTTCTCGCCTCGCAAGCGAGAGGACCCGGGTTCGATTCCCGGGCGGGGTGAAGCCTTAGGCAAGTTTCCTTACTCCGCACACCATCTATTTACCCAGCAGTAAGGAGGAATCCGGTTGTTAGTCGATTAGCGGATCGCTTTCTGGGGCTAATAATGCCTTAAAAAAATCTATGAACAATGATGATTTGGTCACTGAATCCAGGACTGTTTGTGGGGACCCCCGCTGAGCGCATTTGGCTGCCAGATCTCGCTCACAAAACACAGTCACTACACTTTACAGTATATCCTGTGAAGCGCTTTGAGATGTCTCAACGACAGGATAAGGCACTGTATCAAATGCCAAGCTTATTATTATTATTATTATTATCATTATTATTATTATTATTCACCTGGGTACGTATCCCAGTCTTTCCTCAAATTAATCTAATGCCTTCTGCTTACTACTCGTGCTGCTGTGCCACAAAAGCGACCTTACCCTTAAAGAGTTATCTGTATTCTGATATTTAAAGCCGTGACAAGTTGCGGAGGCTGCAGATTAAAGCATTTCGGTGGCAAAGTGTTGAACATAGTGCTCAGTGTTTCTCCTGCCCCGTAATTTCTTCATCCCTCACCCACCTCCGCTGATAGGTTTTTCAACATACTGCGGAGAAAGAGAAAGAGAGAGAGAGAGACAGAGCAGATTTATTTTAGGAAATACTATCTTAGGATACAGTTTATAGTTTGGGGCACAACACGTCGTGCGACTGCCAAGATGGTTGGAAGGTGAAGGTTGGAAGACGTTGATATTCTTTTGTCCAGCAAATTCTTATGTTCTTATGTATGAGAGAGAGAGAGAGAGAGAGAGAGAGACACACACAAAGAGAGAGAGCGAGAGAGAGAAGACAGAAATAGAGATGTAAGAGAGACAGAGAGAGAGCGAGAGAAAGAAAAAAGACAGAAAGAGTGACAAGACACACAGAGGGAGATATATAATAAAGAGAGAGAGAGAGAAGATAGAGAGAGAAACAAAAACGAAAAGAGAGAGGCGAGAATGAGCCAATGATGTGTCGATGCATATTCAGAGGCTAAAGAAGCTCTCTTCTCGAAAATCTTCTTCCCTCCTCCTCCTCTCCTACTCTCCGCCTAAAAATCCGTCTCTTCCGCCGCATTCCTCACGTAACCTGCAAAGCGCGGTGACTGTGTATTTTGGGGGTGAACGCGATGGCCGTTTGCACGCAGACACGGACCACAAACAGCCACGAAGCGAAACGAATGACCAATTTTGATCGGGGGTGACGATGGGAGCGTGAGCTCAAAAGTCCCGGAGGGGGGGGAGGCTTGAACCCACAGCCCTCCTGCATTGGAGGCCGGGGAACGGCTACCAATCGAGCTGACGTTTTATTCTAATTGGGTTCCGATGCGGTAGGGGGTCGGGTGGGGGTTGTAGGGCGGAGGGTCGGACTGTACTGAGGGTGCGACGGAAGTCACGGCATCGGGCGCGAATTGATTCCTTGTGTGCGTCGGATTCGCACGCTGGCAAGCACCCATTGTTGAGTTCCGTGTCGAGCTCAACCTCCGATTCTTCCCCCACAAACGAGGCGGAGAGCGTGGGCGAGAGGGACGGACGGACGCGAGGGACGGAGGCGGGGGCTCGTGGCCTGGGTTCATTCTGAGAAGTTTTAGCGCCGCAATCGAACGAGATTGAGGTGTTTCACCCACAGATTTGTAGCGCGAGGCGACGGAAATCTGTGATGCGAATGCAAATGTTTCGCCCAGGTATTATCGTGTTAACTCGTATTATCTTACTGTTACCGTTTAATAGATTTGCCGTGCGTGATCGCACAAACCACTCAATGTGATAATTTTCTCCGAAGCCTTTTCTTTCGACTCTGCTATTTTACACCTGCTGTTGAGGTCCCACGTTGTTAAGCACACAGACACTGTCTGGCCTGTCACTCGATGAGGGAGGTCAAGATGTAGTGACTTGCTGGACGAGGGGAGTGGGTTGGACGGGGAGGGAGTGAGTTCATAAACCCACAGCCCTGGTTTGATTTGTGCTTTCTGCTGAGATAGTTTTAAGATAATAACGATCCTTACCTTTGTTTGGGGAGTCCTGTAGCTCAGTGGTTAGAGCGCTCGGTTTAATAATACTAATTATTAACTAGCGGAGGTAATGATGACTGCCCCCCCCGACTCCGAAAAGAATTTGGTCAATCCACGACTGTTTGTGGGACGCCGCTGTGCGCAATTGGCTGCCGTGTTTCTCCCACAAAATACAGTCAATCCGCTTTACAATATATCCCGTGAAGCGCTTTGAGACTTCTCGACGACGTGACAAGGCGTTATATCAAATGCTAGGATTATTATTATTATTATTATTATTATTATTATTATTATTATTATTATTATTATTATTATTATTATTATTATTATTATTATTATTATTATAGCACCTTTCACGTTGGGAGGACGTCTCAAAGCGCTCCACAGAATATACTGTACAGTGAATCGACTGCATATTTCTGCGGGCGATGTGGAAAGTACACTCAGTTAATCTAACACTGACAGCGGTTTTTTGTTTAAATGAAATCTTCCATCATTCAATTACTATTCAAGCAATAAAAGTGAAATAAGGCATCAACAGCATGTTGTGCCATCTGCCCGCTCAATGGGATGAATGACTGACTGATTGATTGATTGCGCTCTTTATTTCTGTTTGTGTTAAATATCAGTTGGAAAATCTGCTGTGATTAAGTCTACCGGCGTCTTTACATTTTGGTTTTTTTTTTTTTTTCGGTCACTCAACCGCGATGGAGAGTTCCACATATGTTTGTGACTTTGACGTTGGAGATTTCCCCAATGGACTGGAATGGAATGCGCTCTCTCCCTCTCTCTCTCTCTCTCTCTCTCTCTCTCTCTCCCCGGAGGGACTCGTCCTGCTTACCTGATTCCGGAAAGTATTAGGCGCAGGTTGGCGAGAGCCAAGGCTTGGGGGGTTGGGGGGTTGGGGGGGGGGAGGATTCCCTGACCCCCAGTGACCGGTCGGCCCCTTCCAGCTCCTGGCGACGAGCCGGGCCGGGGCTGGTGCTGCCATCAGCAGCGAGTGCCCTGGAATCCTGCAGACCCGCCTGGATTTACTGCGTTGTGTAGTGACTGGGTGTTTGGTAGGCAAGCAAAGTATTTGAAGGAGCAAAAAAAATTCCCTGTGCTCCCATTGACAGGCCAGTATTATCTTTGATAATGTCTTATTGAAGCTAGTTTGTCTTAATTGGTCAAGTGTGAAGTAATAATTTATAATAGTCTCCAGAATATTAATGAGTTCTACCATTTAAATTCTCCAACTTAACGCACATGACCTCTACCGGTAGACCAGCTAAATCAACAACAGTACGCTTTGAATTAGTAGTTTCGTGTAATTGGCTTTTAACCTGTAATTAATTATTCCGGGGATGGCATTTCCAAGGATTATAATTTAATACGCATTAAAATAATAAAATAAAGCAGGCGGACAGTGAGGGCTATCTCTCGTGGGAATAGCTTGAGAAATAATTCTGGACCATTCAGTGCTTGGCGTTTTTTTTTATCTTGCATTTCGTTGCGGAACGGTTGGGTGCAGAGCAAGAAACAGGAGGAACGGGAGGAAACTGTCAGTGTCAAGCTATTTGTAAGGCTTGTCGTGTTGACGCTATTTAATACGCTCTCCTCTGAGTCAAAGCTTGTGAGTTCAAGCTCCCGCCTTGAGGCCTTTCAAGTCTTGGCTGACATTTCGTTACGTTGCTGAGGAGAGCGCTGTATCATCAAGAGTCGCCGTCCTTCAGATGAGACCTTAAACCCAGCTGCGTCCTGTTCGGGTGGACGTTAAAAATCCCTTGGTAGCGTCTGAAAAGAGAAGGTAGTTTCTCGCTCCGGGTGCCCTGGCTGCCCCATGTGCCCTCAAAATACACAGTCACTAAGACTTTACAGTGCAGCCGGCGAAGCACTTTCTGGCGTGAAAGGCGCTGGGTCGAACAATAATGTAATGATCCTTGCACTTGCGTCTTCTAGACGTCTCAAAGCGCTTCACGGATTCTACTGTGAAATGACTTGAGTGTACGTTTTGTGGGCCGAACGCAAGGACCGCTGTTGTTGTAACCTCCGACACTGTGAAGGTCTCACTGAACGGCTCCGCTGATGTTGCAAATGATGCTGCAAAGCCGCGCTGCACAGTTAATTGACTTTAATTGCGACTCTGAACTTGGTCCCGACAGATGACTGTGACGAACACCTGGTGTCTCAGCTTCCTCAGCTGGTCTTCGATTCCTCCTCAGAACTGTCCGGCAGCCACAGCCCGGGTTTTGCGAAGCTGAACAGACGAGACGGTGAGACTCCGGGCTACGGGGCAATGCACGTGCGTGCTGGCGTTCTCAACGGTCCCCCGTCGCTCGCCTCGCAAGCGAGAGGGACCCGGGTTCGATTCCCGGGGGGTCAGGTCAGGGCAAAACCTTAGGAAAGTTTCCTTACTCCGCACACGCACACACACACACACGCCTCTGTTTACCCAGCGGTAAGTAGGAACCCGGTTGTTAGTCAATTGGCGGATGGCTTTCCGGGGGTAATAATCCGGGGGTAATAATCCCTCCCAAAAAATGTTTGGTCACTCAATCCACGGCTGTTTGTGGGGACGCTGCTGCGCGCAGTTGGCTACTGCGTTTCGCCCACAAAATACGCAGTCAATCCACTTGACAATACATCCCGTGAAGCGCTTTGAGACGTCGCGACGAGGTAACAAGGCGCTGCATCAAATGCAAGGATTGTTATGATTATTCATCGTTATGATTATTAATATTATTATTAATCAGCCCCTGATGAGATCTTTGACCTGAAAGAACCCCGAAAACAAAAAAAGTCAACAAACGCGCACACACAGACAGACAGACACACACACACATGCACACAGTCTCTCTCTCTCTCACACACACACACACAGTCTCTCACACACAGTCTCACACACACAGTCACACACACAGACAGACACACACACACAGTAACACTGACGCACACACAGACATACACATACACCACAGACACACACACAGTCACACACACAGACACACACATGCACATACACTCGTACGGACAGACAGACAAGAAGTGTTTGCTGTAAGAGCAATTTTCGACAGAAAGAGATAGAGAAGAAGAGAAAGGGGGAAAGTTATTAATAATAATAATAATAATGGTCGCATTTGATCTCAGCGCCTTATCATGTCGTTGAGACGTCTCGAAGCGTTTCGCAGGATCCACTGTAAAGCGAATTGACTGTGTATTGTGTTGCATTATTAAAATGAAATGGAAAGAAACCTCCCCAGAAAAACACTTGCCCTCACTTTACCCTCTTTGCTTTCGTGCGGGCACGTGTGTGCGTGCGGGCACGTGTGTGCGTGTGGACACGTGGGTGCGTGCGGGCACGTGTGTGCGTGTGTGTGTGTGTGTTTTAAATACAGTAGATGTTTATTATTAAGTTTGTTCTTCCGCAAAGGTAATTTCCCCACAACTCGGTAAAATCCGATTGATTTAGCCTCGCACGCTTGTATAACTGCTCGGATTTTATTTGTGTTTTCTCCCCCCCAACCCCCCCCCCCCACACCCCCGGCTCTGAGATCAATCACTGCAAGATTTCCATTAGCTTTCACAATTAAATTACTTTCCCTTTGCTCCTGTCGCTAACAGCTTGCTTGGGTAACGTTACAAGGGGAGACTGCCTCGTAATTAATGGTGCTCGAGCAACATTATAATCCGAGAGAAATGAGCTCTTAGGGTTGTGTTGCAGAGTGTCCGATCTGCTGACTCCCCAACCCACTACCCACCGCCTCCGTTCGACTGGCTCCAGCCTCCTGCGCGTCCCACGTCCCCTCCGTTCCATCATCGGCTGCTACTCCCCCCCACCCACCCAAACGCCTTCAACCCCTCCGCCTCACCCCACGCCCTCCCCTCCTTCCCCGTCTTCAGATCGGGCCCGAAGACCTTCCTCTTCGACCGCTCTTACGGTCACCTCTTTCCCCCATTGCCGTTTTCACCCGCAGGTCCAACGAAATGATGTGAGGAGCCTTGAGATGTCCTGGTGCTGATCAGGTTGATCTCTCCTCCCACCCCCACCCACCACCACACACACACACACACACACACACACACACACACACACACACCAATGGCTAAACCCAGGGTGTATTAACTCTACATTTCCCAACTCTTGTATCTCCAGGTGCCGGAGGTTGGTCCCCGCTGGAGTCCAACCGGCCCCAGTGGCTGCAGATAGACCTGGGCGAGAGGACGGAGGTCACGGCCGTGGCCACACAGGGCAGGTACGGGAGCTCGGACTGGGTGACCAGCTACGCCCTGATGTTCAGCGACTCGGAGAGCAACTGGAAACAATACCGGCAGCAAGACAGCATCTGGGTCAGTGCTCCTCATCATTAGCTGCTGTTGTACATCGCATGTGTATGAGTGTGTGTGTCACATACAGAGAGATGTAATCACCGGAGGTGCTCAATTGGCTGCCGCGTTTCGCCCACAAAATGCACAGTCACTACACTTTACAGTATATTCTGTCAAGCGCTTTGAGACGTCTCGAAGACGTGATAAGGCGCTGCATCAAACGCAAGGATTATTATTATTATTATTATTAATAATGCAAACCACACAATGCATTTCATTCTCTTACGCAGTGAAATCCCACTTCTTAGGAACAGAGGAACAGGAGGAGGCCATTCAGCCCTCGGGCCTGTTCTGCCATTCCTTCAATGGATCTGTACCTCAACTCCAAGGAACTCAAGGCTCGACTTTTGAACCTCGGTCTTCTTTGTACAATAATAGCCACACGTCCTTCCTGCTCAAAGACTCCAGCGATGGTGTCAATGGTTTAGTGTCTAGTTCCCAAGGTCGGGAATGGTCTGCGGAAGGACCATTTCAGTGAGCGAGCAGTCAACGTGTGGAACAGGCTCCCCGAGGGAGATGATGGAAGAAGAGAGTGTCGACTCTTTCACAGGCACATCAGATAGATGGTAGAAGGCAAACTGGACCGGTCTTGGTCTTCTATTGCCTAGAAGTTACTAGGTTCTTAAATTGGCTGCCATTTTCATCTACCAAGGCACAGTCACTACGCCCGACAGCAAAATCCCTGTTAACCATTTGGTTTGGAAGACGGATGGATGAGCAGAGTGGGTGGCGGGTGTGGGCGGGAGAGAACACTGTCACCAGTAAGTTACGGCAAATTTTGTGCCAAGTTCGGAACGCTAACCACTGTTAATTGCGGCGCTAATTAACAACTGCGCTAATTTAAGGAACGCTCTTGCATTTCCCACATCATTGTTTGTTGTTCCTTGAGATCAATCTGGGTTTGTTCCTTCCTTTTTATCTCAAACTCCGGTTCCTGCTTGAATAGAAGGCGCTGGTCGCCTCACCCATTCCCTTTCATTACCTTGAAAGCTTCGATCTCGCCCAGACTTTTATCCCCCCCCTCTCTAACGAGAATATTTTTGGGGTTCCATGAGGCGTCGCTTCACAGCTCCTCGCTCCAAACCACCCCGAGCCTCCTGGAGTCATCACAGAGTTGAGTTGCTTCAATATGAACTAGGTTGAGATACAAAGCACCAAGGCTGTAAGGAATCAATTGATCTCAACTCATTCCGTCGCCTGCTTTTGACTCCCAATTCCATTGTGCTTCCCCTCCCTCTGTCCTCACCCACCCCCCCCCCCCCCCGCCATCCCCACCCAATTCCTGTCGAGCCAGGATTGTCAAGCTCCTTGCGAGGTCCTCCTGAACGTGAAAGATGCCGTCAAATTGGGAGGGAGAGGGGGGGTGGTGAAGACTTGCGTGGAGTATAACCAGCGACACGGACTGGTTGGGCCGAGAGTCCAATTTATTCCAACAGACTTCACGTCGGGAAGGACGTCTCGAAGTTGCGTCTCGCAGGGTTTACCGCGAAGCGCGGTGACTGCGTATTTGTGTGTGGGTGGGGGTGGGGGGGGGGGGGGGTGCGTGTGCGCACAGGGACACGTCGCCAGGGACTCGACTCCACGTCGGTCGCACCACGAGCTCCTAACCTGTAGGCGGAACAAGGGTTAAAAGACATCCCAGCCAACTTAATAGCCGTTCAAAGTCCAACACTGATGGAGAGATTGGAAATGGAGCATCAGCGAGGGACCGACCTCATATATTTGCTGCAATGAGCAGTGACATTACAGCTGTAATTAAGGCCTCAAGTTTGCTTTAAGGAAAAGCAATTTTGAAATGACACACACGCAGGTAAAAACAGAATCTAATAACGTCCCCGTGTTAGACAGTGCTTTATACTCCACTCCGCTATTATTTTGAATTTTCTCATTTAAATCCCGTTCGCCCAGGGTGAAACAAAGAATGTGACAGCGTCGAACACTTTATTTTGACAGGACGGGAAACGAGGAAGGACTTGAGCGGGTTTAAAATAATATCGGAATATTTTTTCTGGCGGTAATTGCTTTTGATAACGGCACCTTATTCACGTTGAGGGATCTTCGAGTACTTCACGTAATGAGCTGCTGTTATTGGAGGCGGATTCGGTCGCTTACGTCCCCGCTGTCTGGGGTGGGGGGGGGGGGGTGGGTGGGGGGTGGTGGGATGGTAAGTGGGGTCTCCTTGGAGCTGAACTGGCTTTAAGGTGACCTGACTTGCGGGTTCGGTCCGGTCTTTGACCCTCACGTAATCTAGGTTGACAGTCCGGTGTTGCAGCGCTGGCGGAGGGGGGGGAGCACTGCTTTTTTTTTAATCAGAGGCACAGTCCTTCGGGGTGGGGGCGGCACGTTAAACCGAGGTCCGATTTGTGTCTGTTCAGGTGGACGTTAAAGGTTTTGCAACCAAATTTTGTGGCTGTTCGTTGGATATTGCCGTGCGCCACATAGCGTCTCACAATCCTGCATCGATGATAGACACTTTTGATCAAGTACGTTGGTGTTTCCGGTGTGGCCACCACCCCCCACCCTTTTTTCTTCTCGCACCAACGCACTAAACTATGTATTTTGCTATCCAAGTTCATTTGAATTTATCTTCGTTCAACTCCTCCACATAGGAGACGCTACTTAACTTCCCTGGTAGGTACGGATGATTTTGACGTGTATATACCCTTAATTGCTCGCTTCCTTCAACCCCAATTTCCTCCCTGATCTCACACGTCCCGAGACCTGGGGCAATAGAGAATTTCAATTTAATTTCCAATCCGTAACTGAGTTATGTGAGGACAGAGTACTCCAGCTGTGATATCCTTCGCATCTGCTTCCTTTGCTCCCAGTTGGTTACGTGTACAAAGCTTGTTTCAAAGCGTGTTTAGCTGTTGCCCCCCCCCACCCCGCCCACCGCCACCCTCCCGTCCGCTTCGCTATCACCCTAAAACTCTCTCCCCAGTCCCTCTCCGTCTTGCCCCCTCTTGCCCCGTTTTCAGACCACGCCTGAAGACCACCTCCCACTTCCCCCAGCTCAATGTCAGGCTCCACCTCCACCATTTTGTTTGTGAATGAGGGTTTATCGGTGAACAGAGGATTGTGGAGTGAGGAAACTCGCCCAAGGTTTCGCCCTGACCCGACCCGCCCGGGAATCGAACCCGGATCCTCTCGCTTGCGAGGCGAGCGCTCTAACCGCCGAGCTACAGGATTCCAGGACTCGGACTTGGAGAAAGGAAGAGAGCACAAGACTGCTTCTGGTGATATCGACAGCAGGCAATTTGTGTCGTAGCCTCTTACCGCGTAAGTGTGTCACCCCCGAAGGACAAGAGACACGGAGGAGTCAATCAATAAGATGGCCGAGGATCCAATTAGCAATGCTGTGCAATTCTGTATCAGCTACGATAGGGGATTCTGCTGGAGGTATGAATCACACTAATTCGAGCTCTTAATTGATGCCTAAAGAATGAAGTCAATACAATTGAAGGCTCTTCTCACTTCTGCCTGAATGCGTCACTTAGGAAGAGAGCGTGTGTGTCATACTGATCTGCCGATCTCCCCGGGTAGGTCGCCGCTGAAATATCAATGAGCTGTGCCCACTGGTAGGAGCCCAAGGAACTGAGCATTATTCTGAAAGCAGACACTCATTATTATAATAATAATAATAATAATCCGTGCATTTGATTCAGCGCCTTATCACTTCGTCGAGCGCTTCACAACACATACTGTAAAATGTAGTGACTGTATATTTTGTGGGCAAAACGGGGCGGACAATTGCGCACAGCGGCGTCCCCAACAAACAGTCGTGGATTGAGTGACCCAATTATTTATTTATATATTTATTTTAAGGGATTATTACCCCCCCCCCCCCACCCCCGGAAAGCGATCCGCCAATCGACTAACAGCCAGGTTCCCACTTACTGCCGGGCAAACAGAGGCGCGCGCGTGTGTGTGTGTGTGCGTGCGTGTGCGCGCGTGCGCGCGCGCGTGGAGAGTAAGGAAACTTGCCGAAGGTTTCGCCCCCTACCCGGGGGAATCGAACCCGGGTCCTCTCGCTTGCGAGGCGAGGGGTCTAACCACTTCGCTGCGGGATTCCACTTGGCATTCCTCTGTCTGCCCGGCAGTAAGCAGGAACACGGTGGTTAGACGACTGGCGGGTTGCTTTCTGGTGGGGCAATAATCTCTCCAACAAAATAATAATAATAATAATAGTAACTTGGACACTCAATCCACGTCTGTTTGTGGGGACGCTGCTGTGCAGTGATCATTACTATTTATATTACACCTGTGGTTGGAAATCAGACATCCGCACTTCTGATCGCTCCTGGCTATTTTGCCGATCGGGTCCTTTCCCAACCCGGAAAAGCTCCAATATTCCGATAAAAATCCGGCTACAAAACGGGATAGAAATTTTGTCCTGATCTTTCTTTGTGTACGGCCCAAGGCTTTCGCAGGATTTCAACGTAAAACGTAGTGGCTGCGCAGTTTGTAGGTGAATTAGAGACCGCGTGCAATTGACCATCCAAAGCACTTCAGCATTTGCCTACAAAATGCACAAGTCACTTCGCTTTACAATATACCCTGTGAAGGGCTTTAATCTGTGCTTCGACATGAGAGGCGCTATATCAAACGTAAGAAGCGTTATTATTTAGGATTTACTGTCCGCAAGACTTGAGTATCATTCCCTTGCGGATTGGCTCAAAGAGCAGAGAAAATAACAGGGGAAATAAAGCAAGTCGAGATTGTTTTTATTTGACAGCTGAAAAGATTCCAACGATATCCTTTCTTTTTTTTTAACCGTGAAGCCGGGGCTCCGATTAGCAAAGGATTTAGACTGCACTTAGAAACGTTTAACACATTTTACATTCGGGTCAGTCGAAGAAAATCAGCCGTCCACAGCAAGCTTATGAAATGAATTAAATGATACAGTTTGGCAATCTCTGCATCAGTAATGGGTTGGGGAATAATTTTCCGATTTTCTGCGC